AATTACAAACCAACATCAATTGTTTAGCAAATGTATCAACTTATTCAAATGAAATACAATCAGCTTCGTGATGGAAATATCTATAAACCATGAGTGAGTACATGTAAGTTAGTATGAACTCTGCTAGTATTTCTGTAGATTTCAATATTTCCAGAGGAAATAAATCCGGTTACTAAAATGGTGATTCAAATAGCGGTTGACTGCAAAAAGGGTGTATCATATGTCCGGATAATTTCTCATGCAAGTTTCAAAATAGGACATTTTTATATCTTGCAGATCAACCGTCGTGAATATGTATATAATTATATACATTTAACTTGGACTTTAATAATGAATGAACTTGCAGAATGTAGTCATTCTTTAGACATAAAATAATATTGCAGTTAGAGACATCATTTGTCTTACTCTAGATAACTCTTCAACTGTTTTAAGATATATATCATATGATTTTTTTTTTTAAAGTGCTGCCGATAAATTATATATATTTTCGCGATGTGCCCACTACATTGTAATGTACCTTGAATTTGGATTTTTTATCTTCGGCAATTGTTGAGAAAATACCATTTGCTGAACATTTTTTATGCAAGATATTCCACTGATATCGTTAGATCATCACATTCATCAGTTGTCAGAATAGAAAGGTCTTATAATTAATTTATGCAAAAATTACCAGTGCTGTTCATGAAAATCTAGTTTGCTGTCACATTGACGACTTTTCCTTTTTGTTATATTTTCAATATAAATATTTTTGACATAATTATCACAAAATCTAGTAAGAATCCCCACATTTTCATCCAACTTGACAGATTTAATAATTTCATGATTGCAGTTCGTCTTAAATCTAATCAAATGGTATTTTTTCTTTCTTTCTTTTTTTTTTTTTTTTTTTTTTTTTTGCATGGCAATGCATCACAAAGCAATAAAATGACTGAAAAGCGAAGTTGGTATTTTAAATAAAAATGCTTACAAACATGAATTACTGAAGGTTGTTATTTTCACATTCAAAAACAATAACTACGACATACATGTATTATTAATTGACCTTTAACAAGCAAAATCAGTACGATGCAATAATAACGATGTTATGTTAACATAATTTTAAGAAAATAGTTACAAGCCAGGACTGAAAACGTTAAATATAAGATATGAGGAATATACAATCACAGTTAATTTTTACATCGATTAGAACGAATATCATGCCAAAAATCCTCACACAGTAAGATCGGCACCATGAATTCCATAAAAATGTAAAGTTGTTATATTTGTTATATATAATACATGTATTTTATGATAATAATTCATATATTTTGTCTAGATTCTCTGAGAGATATTTCTCTGCATGTCAAATAATTGAGCATCTGATCAGAACAATAATGTTTTAACAATTCCTTTCAAAGAATCACAAGGAGGTTACAAGCATTGAACGTCCATTCAGTACATTGATTGGACCCTGTACCAAAGCTGGATTTGGACCCACAGCAACAACCCTCATCCCAACATTAAGAGGGTCTGGCCCTCTTCTGTGCTTCATGTCAGGACCTGTAGCTTGAATAATGTCCTTGCTAAAATAGAAGAAAAAACCGTAATAAAATTCTATTGTTCAAAGATAATTAAAAAAGTCAATATATCAAGAAGATAAAATCCACATAATTGAATACTATAGTATCGAGGCCTTTAAAGAGATAACTCCAAGGAGCGAAAATTAAAATTAGAATACCGCGTTTTATACGAGAATTTTTCGCTCCCGTTTTATTTATGCCCCCCTACTTCATCTTCGCTAGCCAAGGGTTTCCGATCCGATACCTACTATGTAGAGTAGGTATCGGATCGGAAACCCTTGGCTAGCGAGGATGCCCTACTCGGGCAAATTTAAAACTGTTTGAATTCAAAGCACACATTTTTAAACATATGTGAGGCGTGCAACAAATAACACAAACGAATCTGGAACACACTCTCTACTTGTACTTGTACTCTAGTTTTGTACGATGGCCGATAGCGTAAGTTTTCTTAAGAATGTCAGGCTATTTACCTAAGAAGTGATCTATTGGGACCTTTAGGCAGGGCTGGGTTAGGTCCCTGTGGCGCTGTGCGGTAAGGTGACTGGGGAATAGCATCGGATGTAACAACTCTTGAGGTGAATTGACTGAAATACAATTCAGTATAATTTTGTATTTGCATGATAAGCAGCTGAAGATGACATAGAATGAGAACAGTTTATGTATAACTTTAAAAAATAACAAAGAATCTTATCTGCTTTATCGGTATCCATTTACACAGTCGCAAATTTCTAGTACATGTACATGTATTTGAAAGGATCAAATATGCTAAATGATTAAAGCAATGGAATTTACAATTATATTCACAGATATCTATAGATTTAATCTCAACCTTACCTGGTTGTCGATGAAGTGTAAGGAAGAAAGCAACATGTCATTCCTGGAATTCTCTTTATCAAGCTGGTAAAAGGAGACGCAGTTCTGTAACATAAAGTAAAAATCAGGTAACTTTTTACTCCATGCATTATATATAAGAATCGTCGACGTATTTTTAGGTCACCTGAGTAAACTCAGGTGACCTATTGCTATCTATTGTCGTCCGTCGTCGTGCGTCGTCCGTCGTCCGTCGTGCGCCGTGCGTTAACATTTAAACATTTTCAGCTTCTTCTCTGCAACCGCTCAACCAATTTTGACCAAATTTGCCACAAAGCATCTATGGGTGAAGAGGAACAAAAATTGTGAATTTCATGGTCCCTGCCCCCCTGGGGCCTGAGGGGTGGGAAACAAGAGGCCCATGGGCCACATCGATCACCTGAGAAGCTTTGACCATTCTGTTCTTTACCAGATTTCCTCCTTGTAATACAAAATGAATCCCCACCCTACCCCACTGATCATAATTTAGACATTTTAAAATCTACATTACCCCAGGATCCTTCCATGTGCACATAAGTTTCAGCTTTTGTGGCCCAGTGGTTCTTGAGAAGAAGATTTTCAAAGATTTTTCCTATATATTTCTATGTAAAACTTTGATTCCCCATTGTGGTCCCGCCCTTCCCCCAAAGGTCATGATTTGAACAATTTAGAATCTACACTACCCCAGGATGCTTCCATTTTAGTTTCAGCTTTTGTGGCCCAGTGGTTCTTGAGAAGAAGATTTTCAAAGATTTTTCCTATATATTTCTATGTTAAACTTTGATTCCCCATTGTGGCCCCGCCCTTCCCCCGGGGGTCACGATTTTAACAATCTAGAATCTACACTACCCCAGGATGCTTCCACATAAGTTTCAGCTTTCCTGGCCCAGTGGTTCTTGAGAAGAAGATTTTCAAAGATATTTCCTATATATTTCTATGTTAAACTTTGATTCCCCATTGTGGCCCCGCCCTTCCCCCGGGGGTCATGATTTGAATAATTTAGAATCTACACTACCCCAGGATGCTTCCACATTAGTTATAGCTTTTGTGGCCCAGTGGTTCTTGAGAAGAAGATTTTCAAAGATTTTTCCAATATATTTCTATGTAAAACTTTGATTCCCCATTGTGGCCCAACCCTTCCCCCGGGGGTCATAATTTGAACAATTTAGAATCTACACTACCCCAGGATGCTTCCACATAAGTTTCAGCTTTTGTGGCCCAGTGGTTCTTGAGAAGAAGATTTTCAAAGCTTTTCCCTATATATTTCTATGTAAAACTTTGATTCCCCATTGTGGCCCCGCCCCTCCTCCGGGGGTCAAGATTTTAACAATTTAGAATCTACACTACCCCAGGATGCTTCCACATTAGTTTCAGCTTTTGTGGCCCAGTGGTTCTTGAGAAGAAGATTTTCAAAGATTTTTCCTATATATTTCTATGTAAAACTTTGATTCCCCATTGTGGCCTCGCCCTTCCCCTGGGGGTCATGATTTTAATAATTTAGAATATACACTATATTAGAATGCTTCCATATAAGTTTCAGCTTTTCTGGCCCGGTGGTTCTTGAGAATAAGATTTTTTAATGACCCCACCCTATTTTTGTCTTTTCTTGATTATCTCCCCTTGTGAGGGAACTTGGCCCTTTATTTTAACAATTTAAATTCCCCTTCACCCAAAAATGCTTTGTACCAAGTTTGGTCAAAATTGGCCCAGTGGTTCTTGAGAAGAAGTCGAAAATGTGAAAAGTTTACAGACGGACAGACAGACGGACGGACGGACGACGGACAAAATGTGATCAGAAAAGCTCACTTGAGCCTTCGGCTCAGGTGAGCTAAAAAACCTGTTAAATTAATGAAATCTTTAAAAATCTTCTTCTTTACTCCTGGACATCAAGCAGTCAAACTGTTTGCATGATTGTAATCAGCATTGAGTCCTCTACCAAAATTGTGAAATTCATGGCCCCAGGGTCAGGGGTTCTAGTGCTAGGGCGGGGCTAAATTGATTACATGGTGAAAATGCATAAATTCTTTGAGAATCTTCTTCTCTGCTCATGGGCATTAAATAAACTAACCAAGTACAAAGTTATGTTGAATAAGGTGGCCTCTACCAAAATTGTGAAATTCATGGCCCCTGGGTCAGGGGTTCTAGTGCTAGGGCGGGGCTTTATTGATTATATAGTGAAAATACATTAATTCTTTAAAAATCTTCTTCTCTACTCCTGGGCATTAAATAAAGTAACTAAGTACAAAGTTATGTTGAATAAGACTGCCTCTCCCCAATTTGTGAATTTCAGGGCCCCTGAGTCAGGGGTTCTTGTTTTAGGGTGGGGCTCTAATGATTATATAGTGAAATGCATGAATTCTTTGAACATCTTATCCTTTGCTCCTGGTCAATATGCTAATGATCTAATTACATATTTAAGGCCAAGATTTATTTTATTTTCAGTTTTACAAACCCTCCGCTCAAGGTTTTGAATTTTCAGAAAAATTTTTTTCCGATTTCAAATTTGAGTCGGGATCGAGATTTCAAATTTACGAACTCGCACTTCCGGTTTAAGATGAAATGGCGGGTAAATAAAGCTAGATCTGCGAAGATAGCTTGCTTTAGTGTAAAATTCATCGAAAGAGTGCCATTCAAAACGTCTCACACGTTCAAAGGACAAATAATATGCTGACGACTTTGTTGCACAATGACATGCTGGTGAGATAATTATGTATTCGTTTCAAAAGTATCTGTAAACTAGTGCTAATTGTAACGGGGACCGTTACAGATGTTCCCCAAACGCTCCCCAACTCCCTTTTGGTGCCATTTTCCCTGTAAGTTTCATTAAATAGGACAAAATCTATGCATTTGAGACTTTAACAACGCCAAGTTCATTCAAATTTTAGCATTGCATGCGTGCGCATGTGAATGCATGTGCGTAATGACCATATCATCTTGTCTACACTATATAGATATTTTTATATATATTAAATATTAAAGTATTTAATCCAAAAGTATTAAAAAATACGCTCACTCAAGTGTATTTTTGATTTATAGCATTTCACGTGCACGCATGTGCATACATGAGCATGGTGACCATATCTTCTTGTAGAAGTCCATTACATCTATCTATGTTCTAAATCCCAACCCGTTTGGTTGAAAACCAAGGGAAATATAGCTGTTTAAAGTTTCAGCCAATCAGATTACAGCGTTCGTACACGCACGTCTATGCATGTGCATGGTGACCATACCTTCTTGTAGAAGTTTATTATATCTATCTATGTTACAAATCCCATCCTGTTTGGTTGAAAACCAAATGAATTATAGCTATTTAAAGTTTAAGCCAATCAGATTGCAGCACACGTGCATGCACGTGCTTTCATGATAATTGCTATGTATCATGTTGTAGGATATCTTAATGCATGGCTATATTCAAAATTTCATAGGATTTTGTTGAAAAACAAGAAAGATATTGAGACTTTAGTTTCAGCCAATCAGAGCAAAGCGCACGTGTATACGCGTGAGATCTTGCATTTTGACCATGTCTTCTTGTCTATACTACTAATATATTCATGCATTGTGAGTTTCAAAAAATTCCATCAAGAAATGGAAAAGTTACGGCTTCGTCCATTATATTGGTAATTTCACATGTTGCACGTGCGCACTCTTGCCAGCACATGCGCATGTACTTGCTTTCATGAAAATTTTTATATATCATCCTGTAGATCTTCATAATGTGTGACTAAGTTCAAAATTTCAAAGGATTATGACGTAAAACAAGGAAGATATTGAGACTTTAGTTTCAGCCAATCAGAGCGAAGCACACGTGCATGCGCGTGAGATCTTGCTATTTTGAGCATGTCATCACGTCTATACTACTAATATATACTTATATTATGAGTATCAAAGCATATAATCAAAAAGTAGAAAAGTTACGGCTATATCTGTTATTTTGGTCATTTCACGTGTTGCACGTGCGCGCTCTTGCAAGCACGTGCGCGCAAAATGACCTTCGTTCCGCAAATCTACATAACATGCCTAGTGACCCTAAAAAGGTTTCACCTAAGTCGGACGTGTTGATTTCAAGATCATTCGCGGAAAAGGTTTTCCCAGGAAGAAGAAAAATAATAATAATAATAATAATAACTAGATGTGAAACTCGTTGCGAGCAACGAGAGGTCTTCCGTCCGATTCCGGAAAGAAAAAGTAAAATCGAGCTGAAAAAGTAAAAAAAAAAACATGATTTGCACACAAGGGGAGTTGAACCCAAGTCGCCAGCATGAAATTCCAACGCACTAAATATAACGCTATCTGGACCTCTACTCTAAATCTACTTGTATATATTAACGAAACAGCTAGGTGCTTCTCTCTTAAAATGATGAAAGGCGGGTCACTATTCAAAATTTAGAGCCAAACGCCACGAGTTAATCTTTGCCTCTTTTCTTTGGAATGCTCTGTTAAATAGCTGTGATAGCTTCAATGATATTAGAAAGTATATTTAACACATTTTACAAATTCTATATTGTATATATGCATGTAACACGAAAGCGATGAAACGGTTGTGAATTTTTTTCAATTTCCTGTTTATCCCCAAAGTGAACTATTCCAATTAATTAAACGAAAAAGGTTGAAACTTTTCGCCGAAAAACATGGCTCGCCTTACGACGGTCAAGGAATCAGATATCATTTATGCTAAATAACTTCAATCAGGTCTTTGGGACAAGAATGCTCAAATAAACTCCATGAAGCGATCTTTAAAAGAATGGTTTTCTTATTTTTGTATTATTTATTAGTTTAATATGACACAAGTGTGCATAGAAAAACCCAGTGGTAATTAAGATATATACTGACAATATTAATTGATATTCTTTCTTGAGAAAGTATTACTTTTAAGTATGAATTAAGATCTGTTTTTCCTTTATCAAAAAGATATAAGGTATCGAATTTCATTTGCACATTTTGTCTTTTCTTTCTCTACTTTGAAAACCAGCCAAAACCAATTACAGAAGACGTTAGTTTGACAAAGAACTATAACGTAACTACGACGTGACAATCCAAGTATTCCTTTACATTTCATTTATTCTTATGTTACTTTTGTTCAAGCAAACGCTCA